TGGGCAGTCAGCTTGCTGTTCTGTATTGGTGGATTCCATACAAGCGGTAAAGTTGCGCGGGTAATATCGACCCAAGTGTGATTAACTTCATGGCGCGAGGTGAGGGCGTTTGTAGGTTAGCGGTTAGAGCGTTGGCTTCCAGTAAAGGCCTTCTCTGTGGGACCGAGTTAACACATGCAAAATGCAGACAAGGTTATACGTTCTGTAGAGCCAAGTTGATTCCGAGGAATATTCTATTTGCTAACCTTCTCGGGCTCCGTCACAGTAGGAAGGTGAAGGCAGAAACAGCTACAGTGATCGTGACGATGAAAAAAGTAGTATTACTATTATCTCGTTGCTATTTTTGGTTATTTGAATATCTCCCCTTTTGTCTTATAGGAAATGATTGAAAAGGCGGACCGAAATGGTGATGGCGTCGTTGACGAAGAAGAGTTCATGCAAATGATTTGGAGTTCTTCGCTGTATTAATCGTCAGCTTTTTAAAGCTGACTCGGCCCTCTTTTCTCCAAAAGCTCCTTTGTGGAGGGTCCGCAATCTGGCGCTTTATAAACGATGAGGGAGATAGTTTCCCATGCTTGTCATCGAGTGTTATGTTTGAACGCTTCAAGCCAACCTTTTTATTTACATAAAATAATTTCCTTACTGTTTCAGTTTTGCGTGCAATCCACACCAAATCTAAAAACTACCGGATGTTTGCAATCCACAGTTTTACCCGAAAGCATGGGGCAGGACTGGTTTATGAGAGCAAACAGGTGAGAAACCATTGTATTATCGCATTCTTCTGGACGTTCAAGGACATAAAAGTTTATCGACCAGCTTGGTCGCCAAGAGGAAAGATGATTCTCCAGAAGTCAGGGACAAGGGTTGCGCACCACCGCCTACCTCTCCGGCGCAAAATGTATAGTAGCCGAGATAGATGGGAGTTCCTGCCGGGTGATGTCTTGTTTGTTATCTGGAAGAGGCATGTTCAGTGCTGACAAATGTCTACATTCTTGGGTGTGGTAGGTTTCTGGGACAGCGCGCTTCTTCCGTTTACAACTACTGCTCAAAACAGAACAGCTTTCGCAACCTTTGAAACATTTAGCCACTAGGAAGAAAAACGTCAGAGTCGTTAGAGCCGGATGCTTACAGGTCTGGCATCTCAAGTTGAAATGGTGCAACACTAGTTGATTTCGTACAGCAAGAGCTTGGTGATTAGGCCCTCTCCAGCCAACGATGTCCAATGTATGTTTGTCATCCTGAAATCCAATATATTATCTGCAAATGTCTGCTTTTCATAGTGTGGTAGACACCAACTAATCGAATTTTTTAATGCAAAAGTGTCTTGGACATTAGAAGTGGTTGAAAAAATTATCTAGAGTATTAAATGAAGCCATGTAGTTAACTGTTTATTTTTGTATCAAGGCGCTGAAAGGGCCCTAAATGCTATTCGGTGTAAAGGTGAAATGTAAAATAGTTCAATTTATATGAACTAATTATACCGCAGCCAATAAAACCCTGTTTATTTCAAGCACTTATTTGGCAATCAGAACAACAATTTTCGCATTTTGAATGAAAAAAGAATTTGATTATTCTTCCACAGGTTCCTAACCGACAGGTCAAAACTTTTTCGCATAATTTTCCCCAAACACAGCACTTTTCTTAAGCCGATAAAATAGACGATCTAAATTGTCGAATATCCGTATACCTTAACAACTGCAAGTGATTTAAAGGATGTCCCAAATAGGATAGCACCATCCCCATTAATTCAGTAAAATTCAGGGCAAGGTAAAACGAGCCTGATTGTGCCTGAAGCAGTTAAACCCCAAAAGCATTGGTGATCGGAAATGCGTTGAGGCCTTGGGGACTGGAACCTCGCCATGATTTTGCGTAGACTTGTCACGAACGTTCTCCGAGGGTCTACTGAGCAGTTTTTTCAAAAGTTTTGGACTTTT